ATCCCGGGGGCGTGTACGCCATAGTGGCTAATGTTGTTTGTATCTATACTTGAGTCTGCACTGCTGTGCCATCACAAGGGAGCTGAGCTGTTGATGTTGGACTTGGAGCTGATCCAAGTGAGTCTAAATGTTTACGGACAGCCGAGAAAAGGAAAAATACACATCCTCTACAGTGGAAGAATACTTTATATACCGAGTGAGTATTTTGAGCGAGATGATGCAGTTACAGCTGGTGACATTATGTTTAACAGGGGCATTATCCTTGTTGATGACTGGCTGACCAAAGCATCCAGGCCATGGGACGGCTTTACAAATACAAAAGACAAGTTATTAATAATTCCAGTTTTTCAGTTTTTCTGCCGATGATGCCTGGGGTATAAAAACTGCCCAACCAATCAGGTGGTCAGGAGTAAAAGGACATTTTGTGTTTCTTGTTCAGACATGAACATGAGCGGGGGACTTGTTATAAGCCTAATTATTAAAAAATTGACGTCTCATGACATCTCAGTAGCGGTGTCCTTGGTTCAACCCCCAGCTGGGGGGAATTTTGTTGCACCTCATGGCCTTTCTCACCCACGTATCCACTTCCTGTCCACCTCTGCACCAAGAGCCCAAATAAAGAGAAAAACCTTTGTCTGATGATAGCTCCTTTAAAGAAGTTGTATGATTTATGAATTCTAAACGTATAAGTTGACTCACTGACACGTCTGTGTCTGTGACTGCAAAATGCTGATAAGGTTATGAGTAATACATACCCGGGGAGCTTGTTATCAAGAGCCTGACAACCCACTGTGATGAATACATGTTAATGTTATAAATAAATACATGATGAATAAAGACAGAGCGCAAAATAAAACAAACTTCTTTGCTTTTCTAGATTCGTGCCAGTACTGTAGACAGAAAACATCACATTAACTGAAATCAGCCTCCTACGCTCACCATCACCTGACCTCTGATCAAGTGACACCCACTGCTGATTTCTTTTATCATTTCTGATGAGCTGATATGTGAATTGATGCGTGTCTTTTTCACTAAACATGAATGAACTGATCTGAGCTCCGCTGAGGAGGAGGAGGAGAGGCTGCCTGGGATCAGTGTGATCTCATTTGAGTAAAATCATAAAATTAAAATCTTTTCCAGGAAGAAAAACAAATAGGATTTCTTCTTCATTCAAGCAGAATGAAGCCAAGTGCTTTTAAAAAAGGACTCGAGTAAATTATTAATCCGGGTCTCCTCCGCCTGTGCCATCCTAGCCTACTTTTCTTGGCACTTTGGGGGAAGCACACTGACTTGTTGCTCTCCATGACACTTCCCAGGCCATACATTATACATGCAGCTATTCTGCACAGATCATGCATACTCGTCATCACAGCCATGAAACTGGAGCTGCAGTACTGTGAAAAAGTCTTGAGCCACCCATTATCTCTTTATATTTTGCTACCAAGAAGCCGGACTCTGTACTTTTTTTGTTTTTAATTGGTTTAGAGCAGCAGATCTCCAGACTTTATACTGGGATAAAGAAGCATACAGTGGAACGCTATCAGTCATGGATTGGCCTCCCCAGAGTGGAAAAAGAAGAGCTTTGAATGTTCTTCAAGAAGCCTGGAGAACTATTCCTGACGATTATTTCATGAAATTATAAGAAGGCTGCCTCAGAGAGTTCAGGGAGTGCTGAAGAATAAAGGTGATCATACTAAATATTGACATTCAAAGTCTGTTTTCACCTTAAATCCTGTATTTTCATGTGTGTTGGCACATATCTGAATAAATCACTGCAGCTATTTCCCAACAACATATCAAGAAATGAGGGGTGGCTCAAGACTTTTGCACAGCACTGCA